CGATAGAAAAATGTATGTTCAGCACAACTGAATTAGATTTAACAAAGAACATCAAATGAAATCGGTAGAAAAAAACTGTGTATAAAGGCATTGGAGACCATCTGGACTCTGCTGAATTAGGTTTTCGAAAAGAAAACATCAATTTTGCCCAGCTGACTTAAGTTTCTGATAGGATATATTCAGATAAGTATAACTGAAATAGGTTGTGCCTTTTTTAAAACTTCAATTCAGCCCATCTGAATTAGGTTTCCAGTAAGAGTATATCGATTCAGCCCCGCTGAATTAGGTTTCCGATAGAAAAATGTATGTTCAGTACAACTGACATAGGTTTTACACAGAAAATCAGATGAAATCTATAAAAAAACTTTGTATAAAGACATTGGAGACCATCTGGTCTATGCTGAATTAGGTTTTCGAAAAGAAAACTTCAATTCAGCCCAATATGCCTTAATATTTCGATAGGATATCTTAAGATATGCCCAGCCAAATGAGGTTGTCGGTATGATAACTTCAATTCAGCCCAGCTAAATTAGGCTACCCATAGAAAAACTTCTGTTCAGCACAACATAATTAGATTTTACGAAGAAAATCTTCAAATCAGTATAAAAAAACTGAATTAGGTTTTCGATAAAAAAACTTGAATTCAGCCCTGCTGAATTAGTTTTTCGTTAATAAAACTTCAATTCAGCCCTGCTGAATTAGTTTTTCGTTAGGAAAACTTCAATTCAGCCGTGCTGAATTAGCTTTCCAATAAGAAAACTTAAATTCAGCCCTGCTGAATTAGGGTTCCAAAAAGAAAACTTCAATTCTGCCCAAGCCTACTTAATTTTCCGATATGAAATATTCAAATAAACCCAGCTGAACTTGGTTTCCAATAGGAATCATACATTTCTTTTAGATTTAGATTAGGAATTAGATTTCCGATTAAATAACTTCAATCTATGAGATTTTCAGTGCCTCACAAGGTCTTGACTTTATGTGAAATACCTCCTTATGGTATTTTCTAAGAAGATTTCCTTCTGACGTCCAGTCTCCTGCCAGGATCAATACTTCCCATAAAATATCTTCTGATCCTGTTTTAGAACACCTTCTAGTATTTTACTGATTGATCATCTATATGAGGACCTTTGGTTCTTCTATAATGATACCTTCCGTCTTCTATAAGAAGATCTTCTAAACTTCTCTTTAAAATTATTCTACATGTCTTTAAATACTCTCTTCTCATCGTCCATAGAAGGAAGGCTCCCTTCAGTCTATGAAGGAATCTCTTCTACTCATTTGTAAAAGGCCCGCTTCGGCAGTTCGGTCTATAGAGGTGTCCCCTCAGATCGTCTGTAATTATTCTCAGACCTTTAGATCGTTGATGAGAGTCTCAAGACCTTTTATAATATAAGAAGTCCTTCTGGTCTTTTATATATTGTCCTTGTGATCTTCTTTTAATAAATTTTAAATAAGATAACTTATTTGAACTTTTATAAGAAGGCATATTAGGATTCCTTTAAATAACCCTTGTGTAATAACATCGAAAGTTTTTTATAAGAAGGTCAACTTAAAGCAGATTTTATAGACCAAGGTTTCAACTATAGACGGCCCAAGGAAGAGACTTCTCTAGACGAGGTGAGGCAGAGATATTTTATTTTTTTTTTATTATGGCCTTTTATAGACGAAGTGAAGGCCAAATAGGTTCGATAGGTGAGCTGAAGACCAATGAGCCTTCTTTATAGAAGAACTGAAGGCCAAGGTAATCTATAGCCTTCAAAGAATATATAAAAAAAAAAAAAAATTCCAAGTTATTCGAAGGTTTTGTTTTTAATTTCAAAACAAAATCGTATTTTTATTATTCTTTATTTTATTTCATTTTGAAACATTGTTCAAAATATGTTTACATAAATTACGTTATTCGTCGGACAAACGCAAATTTCGTTTATTTTTTTGTGATATGAGATATCAGAGACATTGTCTCCGCACCGCCGATCGTTTTCTTTACAGTTATAAATGAGTAATGGACAAAAGATAACAAAATCACGGCCTTAGGGGTTGGGTTGAGTGAGTAGTGGTGGTTGGTTGGTAGGTTACTCTGCTGGTAGGCAACACAAAAAAGCTTTGGATGATATCATCGAAAATTTCGAGCGGAAACTTAAATTCTGAAGTGGTGCTGCTTGTATGGTTATGTATATGGTCGATCGCAGGCCAAACCAAAGGCCCAACCGGGGCAGTGATGAAAAACCACAACAGAAGCAACATCAAGCAGCCGTCGTGTTCCCTGCCATTCGGTCTGTGTGTCAGATAAGCAGCAGCAGTTCCAAATGCAGTTTTGTTTTGAATTTTTAGACAGAACAAAAAATGAACACATACACACGCTGCTCTCATTGCAAAAAACGCGATCAAATGCTAAATAAGAAATATTTATAAATTTCCAACCAACCACCCCTTCTACCCCCACATTTAGCCACCCATATTGTGGCGGTATATATCAGCTATATGGGGTATTGTTTACATCGATCAATTCACGTAGATTTCTTTTTGTTGTTGTTAATATTTTTGCACTGTATCGTATCTTTTTTTGTTGGCACTATTTTTACACCCTATGCCAGTCGAACAGTTCGCCATGCAGTCAGCCAAGCAGCCACCAAAAGCCTGCTGCTAAAAAGCCGCGTGTTTTGTGGTTTTGTGACATTGTTGTTGTTGTTGCTGCTGCTGCCTCTGGCCCAGCTTGTTTTCATTCTAATGACGTCTATATACCTGTCAGCTATCCAACCAGCCAGCCAGCCACAAAAACAGTTTTGCGTTGGGGATGCAATTTTCAACGTTATACGATTTGTTGTAGTTGTTGTTGCTGCTGTAACAAAATTGCCAATTGAAATGGAGTTTAGATAAGCGTATTTTTGTTATTTTTATTTATTCCAATCGATCGCGATTGCAACTAAATGTTAGTGTTTTTTGTCTCTTTATGTGATTGGCGTTTTATGACGTTATTTTCATATCGAAACAACAACAACAACAAGTACAAAAACGTGTTCTAATTGAAGCGTCAATGGTAAAATGATGAATTGAATACGCCTTTGCTAAGGGCATGCTGCTGATACTGGTGGTTGTGATGATGATGATGACCATCATTGGTCCGATGATGTGTGTTGTAAATGTCAATTTAGTTGATTTATCTATGACGCAGGTTGCAAATATTAAATGTTGTTACAAATTAACGTAATGGAAAATAATATTTCAGAGGGTTTTGAAAATAACAAATAGCCCATCAATATAAACAAGTTACATTTTGTTCTTTGCAGAATTATCCATTAAGACTTCCTTAAAATTGTCTCTATCCGTTCCTATTACCTCCTATATATAGACAACCCTCTCCCTCCAGCTCATCTAAAGAAGAAGACCATTCGGATCGTCTATAGAAGAATTCCTTCTGATCGTCTGAATACGACTCAATTTAGCTTCTTTATTGAAGACTCTTCAGATCGTCTATGAAGATTCTCTTCAGATCGTCTGTGAAGATTGCCCTCAGACTAAAAAGTTTCCCTTCCGCCGTCGTTTAAGAAGACTCCTTTCAGGTCGTCTGTATACGTCTTAATTCCTATCCTTTATTAAATACTTCCTTCAAATCGTCTATAAATACTCCTTTCATATCGTTTTTAGAAGACTTCCTTCACTTCGTCTGTGGAAGTTTCAGGGTGCGCAAAAAATTTATGGCGATAAATTCTTTACCAAACGAGCATTCGCCAAAGAATGTTCGCACACACATAACAAACGAGTGAGAACACACAACAACGATCGTTCGTTTCGTTTGGTGTTTGAAATCCTTTCTGACATTCTCTCACGAATGAAAACAAACATTCCCGAATTCTCGCGAATGCTCAAAACAGCAACAACAATAACAAGAAACGTTCGTGACCTCAATAGTTGTTGGACATGTGTTTTGTTATTCCACACACTTTCTGCTATATTTTTGTTTGTTGTTGTTTTTAACAGTGTTCGCGAACATTCGTTTTTTTTTCAGTTTTTCAAAAGAATGTTCTTCAGCAACAAATGCTCGCGAACAAACGAATCAACTACTCTTGTAGCGAAATTTTATCGTTCGTGAATTTTTCGTACGTATGCGAAGATTCGCGAGATATTGAAAATGCTTGTTCATTAATTGTAACTTTATCATTCGTGATAAATTGAAAACATTCGAATTCTCGCCATGAGCCATTCGTGAGAAAGAACGTATTTTGATCATTCTTCGCACCCTGGGAAGATTACGTTCAGGTCACCATCATCTCGTCTATATACAACTCCATTCAGCTCATTTATAGAATACTCCCTTCAGCTCGTCTATAAAGACTCCCTTCAGCTCGTCTATAAAGACTCCCTTCAGCTCGTCTATAAAGACTCCCTTCAGCTCGTCTATAAAGACTCCCTTCAGCTCGTCTATAGAGACTCCCTTCAGCTCGTCTATAAAGACTCCCTTCAGCTCGTCTATAAAGACTCCCTTCAGCTGGTCTATAAAGACTCCCTTCAGCTCGTCCATAAAGACTCCCTTCAGCTCGTCTATAAAGACTCCATAGAAGACTCCCTTCAGCTCGTTTATAAAGGCTTCCTTAAATTTCGCCTGTATATAATGACCTCTTTCAGTTAACCTCAAGAATACACCCTTTTAGCTCATCGATGAAAACCCCCTCCATATTGCTCCAGCTCGTCTAAAAATTTGGTTTCCCCTGCTCGTCTTACAATTTGCCCAAGGTCCAACATATGATTTTCCATAGCCATTTGACTTTTCCATTATTTTCCCTTTTATAATCTGCTTAACGTTAAACTTAAACCGCTTACAATACATTGTTGCGGCGGTTTTTATTTAAAGTGCAGCAAACCAAAAAAATGTTAGGAATTTTATGTAACAAAAGCAAAAAAACCTACAACAATACTATGTGCTCTCTAAAATTGTTTATATACATTTCCTTTTGGCATTTGTTTAAATATTAATTCTTTGTTATTTTTGTTGTCTTTTACAGGCCTGCATAGATGATAATTTAGAAATGGTTGAATTTCTGGTGGAACAAGGCGCCGATATAAACAGACAAGACAACGAAGGTTGGACACCCCTGCACGCCACAGCCTCATGCGGGTATGTATCACACACACACACATACGCACACACGAATAATGAATATGAAAATATGTGCCAAACATTTGTTATTCTTTTGTCTGTCTGTCTGTCTGGTTGTCTGTCGATTTTGCGGCTAAAACAAACAAATAAACGGATATGCGAAGAACAACCAAAACAAATGCTCTCTCTCCCCCCCATTTCCCCCAGGGCAACAAACGAAAGTTGGGGAAAATTGCATAATTATGAATTATTTCACCATGTGTCTGTAACATTGCTGTCAACGTCGTCATCGAACATAATTTTAACACGATTCCGAAGAGAAATTTGGATTAGCTTATAAATAATATTTATTATCTCATAACAGCATGGAATATTGGTGTAATCAATTTTTGAGACGAGTATAACAAATTGTTGTATTTTTCATAAAATTTCGAAAATATAAAACAGATTCCCCTAGGGGTTATTTAACTTCATAACGTCTTGGGGTCTCCAAAAGTCTAGAAATGACAATAATATTTTGTTATTCTCTATATAGCCCTCTGGGATATATAAAGGCTCTTTTGTCCATAAATTCATAGTTATTCTCATTTCTCCCCTCAATGACAAATTTCCAGCAAATGGACATTTACTGACAATGTGTGTTAGTGACAGATTCCGGACGGACCATTTTGGAATATGTTTCCATTCCTATAAATGAAACATTTTTACGCCTATCATCCCCTCCTCCCATTTATATTTTCTAATTTTTCTTTGTTTTTTTTTCGTTGCAGCTTTGTGAGCATAGCACGCTATTTGGTGGAACATGGTGCCGATGTTGCTGCCGTCAATAGCGACGGTGATTTAGCCGTGGACTTGGCTGTCGACATCCAACATTTGCCCATGATTGATTTCATGCAACAAATGGTGGCCGAACAACAAATTGATTGCGCCAAAGCCCGCCAAGCCGAACAACAACAAATGCTTGCCGATGCCAAAAAATGGCTGCGCAGCGATGCATCAGAAATTGATCGACCACATCCAAAAACTGGTGCAACAGCGTTACATGTAGCTGCTGCCAAGGGTTATACAAAGGTGGGTAATCATTTATTTTATATCAAAAATAAAAATTAAATAATTTTCTTTTTAATATTTGTTGTTGAAGAAGAAGAACTGAAGACGGGTTTTTACAGACCAAGGGATAGAAATTCATATTAGAATATATGATTGATAGTAGTTCTTTATAGACGAGCTCAATTCAAGATACTCTCTTATAGAATAACTGAGGCTTGGAAAGACCTCTATAGACGACGTGAATGCCAATGGGTCTTTATGGAGGAGCTGAAGGCCAAGGAGTCTTTATAGACCAGCTAAAGCGAATACTAAAAGGCCTGCAGAAGGCGATCTTTATAGACGAGCTGAAAGAAGTCTTCATAGCAGAGCTCCGATTTGCTCGATTTTACTCGCGAGTGAAAAATACTCCCGAGTGGGAGTAAGTAAAGAGTACGAGTTTTTTAGGGAGTATACTCTCCACTCTTTTATTTTGTTTGGGAGTGCTCGCGAGTACTGCTTGTTGAAGAAAAAGAGTGTGAGTCAAAATGTTCGAAAAAGAGTAAGAGTTCACTCTAAGAGTGAAATCGAGTGGACAAATAAATTTGGTTGTTTGGTTATTTGTTTGTGTGTAGTAGCAAAATTTTTTTTGCTCAAAAAACATAATAGGACATTGATTATTTTGTTACATTTTATTTTTGTTTGTTTATTGAAAATGTTTAAACATGTGAGGTACAAATAAAAATCTTATATGAAATGACTTACATAAAGAGAACGCAGAAAACGAGCTTGTTGATGCATGCTTTCCCAGCAGTACTGCAAACCAAACATCACAAAACAAACAAACAATGCACACATACAACATCAAGTAAAACAACGGTATCACAAACAAAAAATAAATATAAAAGAGTACTCTGCAAGAGTGTAATCTGCTCGATTTCGAGCGTATTTCACTCCCACTCGAAAACGAGCAAAGCACTTGCGCTTTTATTTGAGTGGCAGAGAAAAATAGAGTATACTCTATTTACTTTTTCTACTCGCAGGAGTACTCCCGCTCGAATTCGAGTAAAGAGTGAAACTCGCATTTCGGAGCTCTGCTTTATAGACCATCTAATGGGGGTATTTATAGGCCTGCTGAAGGATGTCTTTATAAATAAGCTGAAGGAAGTCTTTATAGGCGAGCTGGCGGCAATCTTTATAAACTATCTGAAGAGAGTATTTACAGACGAGCTGAATAGAGTCTCTATAAATGAGCTGAAGAGAGTCTTTACAGACGAGCTGAATAGAGTCTCTATAAATGAGCTGAAGAGAGTCTTTACAGACGAGCTGAATAGAGTCTCTATAAATGAGCTGAAGAGAGTCTTTACAGGCAAGCTGAAGGGAGTCTTTATAGACGGACGGAGGGATTCTTTATACAGGCGAGCTAAAGGGAGTCTTTACAGACGAGCTGATGGGAGTCTTTACAGACGAGCTAAAAGTAGTCTTTGCATACGAGCTGAAGAGAGTCTATATAAATGATCCGAAGAGAGTCTTTATAGACGAGCTGAAGACAGTCTTTACAGATGAGCTGTAGCGAGTATTTATAGACAAGCTGGCGGCAGTCTTTATAGAAGAGCTGAAGGGGGTTTTTGTAGACGAGTTTAAGGGAGTATTTATATACGACCTGTAGGACGTCTTTATAGGCCAAACAATTATTTATGTACGAGATTAATGCCAAGGTCGTATGTAAAGGCGGACGAATTAAATACGGACGTGTCTTCAATAGGAGGACGTGTCTTAATAGACGAAATGAATGATGACCAGGAAATCTTTATATTAGTCTAGTGTAGTGTTAAAATCTGCAGTTTTTATTAAAGCACTGAAATGAGTTTTCAGGAATCATATCAAATAAGAAGCAAAAAGCCTGAATTCTTTATGGTCGTACTAACTAAGACGTATTAATAATTAATATTTTGTTCATAGGTTTTAAGTTTACTGCTCGCTGGACGTGCTAATGTTGATGCTCAAGACAACGATGGTTGGACACCATTGCATGCTGCTGCCCATTGGGGCCAAAAGGAGGCAGCACAAATGCTGCTCGACGCCATGGCCGATATGGATGCTCATAATTATGCCGGTCAAACGTGTATCGATGTAGCCGATCGTAAAATGGTTAAATATTTGGAAGAATACAGAGCCAATAATAAACGTATTAAACGAAGGCCATCTAGTCAAATCAGGTACGATGCCAGCCATAATCAAGTAAATATATTTACAATACCATTTAAATCCTTGCCTCTTTTACAGTCGAATCTCAGATACAATTGAAAATCATATGGATAAAACACCACCCAAAATTATACGTGTTGAAGTTCGACCAGATAATAATAAGGACCATCCTAATGGTAAGTTTTGTTTAAAAATGATATTTGTGTTACTCTTGTAGGTGATAGAACTTAAGTTATTGAAAATTGGTTAAATTTTTATTTATGAGTCCATGGTCTGCTAATAAGGTCATCCATAAAAAATTAACATTTTGTATTAGAATGATCATTTAATTGGAATTGATAATCTGAAGGTAGTTTTTTGTAGAAACACTGAGGAAAAAGAAGTCTGTATAGATACAAGTTCAAGTAGACTGCGTGTGTATATAAGGGCAAAAATGGACAAAAATCATTGAAGGGCAGTGTTTATAGTCGGGCTGAAGGGAGTCTTTACAGACGAGCTGAAGGGAGTATTTATAGACGAACGGAAGGCAGTCTTTATAGACGAACGGAAGATAGTCTTTACAGATGAGCAGTATGGAGTCTTTATAGACAAGCTGGCGGGAGTTTTTATAGACGAGTTGAAGGGAGTAGGCAAACAATGGACCAAAGTCATCGAACAGTAATAAAAAAAATATATATATACCTCAAGGCATCTATCTAGTCGAGCTGAAGGGAGTCTCTATAGACCAGCTGAAGGGAGTCACCATAGACGAGCTGAGGGGAGTCTCTATAGACGAACTAAAGGGAGTATCTATAGACGAGCTGAAGGGAATCTTTGAAGACGAACGGAAGGCAGTCTTTACAGATGAGCAGTAGGGAGTCTTTATAGACATGCTGGCAAGAGTTTTTATAGACGGGTTAAAGGGAGTATTAATAGATGAGGAAAAATAAGTCAAAATCATCGAACAGTAATAAAAAATACCTCATGGTATATATCTAGTCGAGCCGAAGGGAGTCTCTATGGACGAGCTGAAGGGAGTCTCTATAAACGAGCTGAAGGGACTATCTATAGACGAGCTGAGGGGAGTATATATAGACGAGCTGAAAGGAGTCTCTATGGACAGCTGAAGGGAGTCTCTATAGACGAGCTGAAGGGAGTCTCTATAGACGAGCTGAAAGGGAGTCTCTATAGACGAGCTGAAAGGGAGTCTCTATAGACGAGCTGAAGGGAGTCTCTATAGACGAGCTGAAGGGAGTCTCTATAGACGAGCTGAAGGAGGGAGTCTCTATAGACGAGCTGAAGGAGGGAGTCTCTATAGACGAGCTGAAGGAGGGAGTCTCTATAGACGAGCTGAAGGAGGGAGTCTCTATAGACGAGCTGAAGGAGGGAGTCTCTATAGACGAGCTGAATGGAGTCTCTATAGACGAGCTGAAGGGAGTCTCTATAGACGAGCTGAAGGGAGTCTCTCTATAGACGAGCTGAAGGGAGTCTCTCTATAGACGAGCTGAAGGGAGTATACGAGCTGAAGGGAGTCTCTATAGACGAGCTGAAGGGAGTCTCTATAGACGAGCTGAAGGTAGTCTCTATGGACGAGCTGAAGGGAGTTTCTATAGACTAGCTGAATGACGTATCTCTAGACGAGCTGAAGTGAGTCTCTATAAACGAGCTGGAGGGAGTCGGAATAGACGAGCTATAGGAAGTCTCTGACCTGGTGGTCAGGGAAAGTTGATGATCATGGAGCTTAAGAGTATATGAGCTGAAGGCTAGGAAGTCTCTATATATGATCTGAAGGATAGTGTGTGATTATTTAAAGGGAACTGTATAGGTGAATTGAACATCATGTATTCTTCATAGACAAGTGGTGGGCCAGTAAGTATTTAATAACATAGTTGGAGGCCAGATAGGCATACCAAAAAAAAAACTTTAATTAAAGAATTACGATAAAAGACAGGAATTATTTATATATGAGTAGAAGTTCAAGAGTATTATTTTAAAGAACCTGAATTTTTGTGAGAATATTTCATACATTCTTTAATGTAAACAAACCTTTAAATCATTTTACAATTTCCTTTCTTTTTGGTTGACCTTATTCCTATACCATAGATTGTTTTTAAATCTCAATTCAAATATTAATATTTTTTATTAAATATTTGTTTATCTTTTTATTTTCTTTTATGGTATTTGTTATATATATGTTGGGGTACATGTAAATGTTTTTTTTTTCTCTGTGGGGGTACATTGATAATACATGTATTTTTTGATTCCTTGATTATTTGTGGATATTGTTTTTGTTTTGCCTCTTCATTAGGGTCCCATGGCCGTTAATGAATCAAATACAATCAATGTATTTCTCATTTTCATTTATGATTCCATATGCGACATTAAATAACTGCCCATTTAAGCATTACTGCATTTGTATTTCATATTTAATTTTCGATTTGATTTTTTTTACACTGCGTCTCTCTTGTCATTATCATCATCATGGTCCATTATGAACATCATCGTCTGATCATTACAATCGATTTTCATCGGATTATCATTGACCTGATTTTAATATACATCATATTGATGTCATCATCTTCATCCAACAACTTAATGGATTTATGTTATCTCTTGTTCTCTCAATTTTCCTTTCTTTTTGTTGTTATTCCCGTTTTGTCCCAAAAAATCTGTATACCTTAAATTTGTGTCGTTTTACTTTTTGTAAATGCTGCCGCACAACTGTGTCCTACACACAACACATCTTTAGTTGCTACAAATACTGCTGCCTCAACATCGTCGGGTTATAATAGTAGTTGCAGTGGCGGCAGCAGTAGCATACCCCCCAATTCTGAATCTGAAGAAACGGACTCTGATTTAACTGATTCGACAGAGAGTTCGCATTCAACGAGTCTTTCTGAGTCTAATGAAGAAGGTATTATCGTTAAAAAAAACTGAAATGTATTTAATTTGTTTTTATAATTGCACGGTTTTTTTAAATAAATATTGTTTATTATTTGTAGGAAATCTATATGTCTTCTGAATGTTACTTAATGACAATTTTGTGGTTTTCTTGTCACGTTTTCTTTTGTTTCAATTTGTTATTAAATTATATAATATTTTTGAAGAGATATTTCAAAATTTTAAAGATATAATAGAGTACTACGTTTGTTTTCAAAATAATGCGGATTAGTCTAAGGGTAGTATTTATAGACGAGCTGAAGGGAGTCTTTATAGACAAGCTGAAGAGAGTCTTTATAGACAAGCTGAAGAGAGTCTTTATAGACTAGCTGATCGGAGTCTTTATAGACGAGCTGATCGGAGTCTTATAGACGAGCTGAACGGAGTCTTTATAGACGAGCTGAAGGGAGTCTTTATAGACGAGCTGAAGGGAGTCTTTATAGACGAGCTGAAGGGAGTCTTTATAGACGAGCTGAAGGGAGACTTTATAGACGAGCTGAAGGGAGTCTTTATAGACGAGCTGAAGGGAGTCTTTATAGACGAGCTGAAGGGAGTCTTTATAGACGAGCTGAAGGGAGTCTTTATAGACGAGCTGAAGGGAGTCTTTATAGACGAGCTGAAGGGAGTCTTTATAGACGAGCTGAAGGGAGTCTTTATAGGCGTGATGAAAGGAGTTTTTATAGACGAGCTGAAATGAGTCTTTATAGACGAGCTGAAAGGAGTCTTTGTAGACGAGCTGAAAGGGATCTTTATAGACTAGCTGAAGGGAGTCTTTATAGACGAGCTGAAGGGAGTTTTTATAGACGAGTTTTTATAGACGAGCTGAAGGGAGTCTTTATAGACGAGCTGAAGGGAGTCTTTATAGACGAGCTGAAGTGAGTCTTTATAGACGAGCTGAAGGGAGTCTTTATAGACGAGCTGAAGTGAGTCTTTATAGACGAGCTGAAGGGAGTCTTTATAGACGAGCTGAAGTGAGTCTTTATAGACGAGCTGAAGGGAGTCTTTATAGACGAGCTGAAGGGAGTCTTTATAGACGAGCTGAAGGGAGTCTTTATAGACGAGCTGAAGGGAGTCTTTATAGACGAGCTGAAGGGAGTCTTTATAGACGAGCTGAAGGGAGTCTTTATAGACGAGCTGAAGGGAGTCTTTATAGACGAGCTGAAGGGAGTCTTTATAGACGAGCTGAAGTGAGTCTTTATAGACGAGCTGAAGGGAGTCTTTATAGACGAGCTGAAGGGAGTCTTTATAGACGAGCTGAAGGGAGGAAAGTTTCAAGAGCTGAAATTCGCTATACATGAGCTGAATGCCAGGGTGTCCTAGGAGCTAGGGTTACAGACGAACTCAAGTTAGTATTAATAGAAGAGTTTGAGGGGGTTTTGGGTTTTCCTAGAACAGTTGAGTCGGGTATTTATACAACATTTGGAGAACTTTCCAAGAACAGTCGGAGGAGAGTAGAAGGAGTCTTTAAAGATGGATGAAAACATCATATACGTTCGGAAGCTTGTGGGCTTTTCGGCTAAATTTGGATTCATTTTCTTTTCTGTATAATAAAATGAAAAAGACTTCTCATCGATAACATATAGCAACCATACAAAGCGTTTAAAACTGTTGCGGGAGCGTCAAGTAGAGCTTCAGATAACGTTACTACGATTAAATCCATATGGTTAAATTATATGGACTATTGCTTGTTGAATGGAATATATATATATATATATATATATATATCAGCTACCAAGAAGATTAATATATAAATCAAGCTTCCCATAATTTACCCCAAAGAGGCTTCAAATTTAACCCTCTACAGTCTCTGATAAGCATATGATTAGCTTATATAAACTAATTCGATATCATATAAATCTGATAGGGTTGATTTCTTTATTTTGGTGTATTATCTGTTTAATTTGAATGGATTTTAAAATTCTTTGCATAATTAGAAATGTTAAAAAAATATCGAATAAAATATACATTTAGCTATGTGAAGTTTTTATATATTAAATTGTTTTAAAAAATTAATTTTATTAAAAAAACAAATTTTTATGTTATCGTTTAATTGAAACCTAAATGTTTAATAAACATTGTTTTGTATATGTATTGTTTATTTTCCATATTTTCAAAAATTTTTTGATAATAGTATTAACATTTTTTAATTTCTCAATTTTTTTATTAGATGATAAAACATCTGTACAGCAACAAAAAACAAACGAACAACCACCCGCCACAGAAGATGAGGCGCCATGGCGTCGTAATAATGTCGCACGAGTGCGTACCACTAATGACAGTCCAAGTAAAAATCGTAAGCAAAAAATTATTTTTTATTAATTAATAAATACTACAATTGTTTTATTTCCTCATTCCCATGCATTAGAAGTTCCTGATGTCATTGATGTGAATAAAACAGCAACAACACCAAATGCCGGTACTACAGAAACCACAGATGTTATACTTAGACGAACTCAAAGCTTTGAGAATGATGAAAAGTAAGTAACGATTGAATTTCTTTTTTTTTCTACATCAATATTTTAATTTGTTTGTGTCATCTGTGTGTTTTGCTTTTTAATACTATTTTGAAAAGAAAGAAGAAAAACAATATCGCAGTATTCTATTATTCAATTTATTTAAAATTTCCGTAAAGTTTGTTTAGCTATATACTCCAAAAAATAGTTGTCCGATTTTATCTATGTAGTTCTATTTTGTTTTGTTGTTATTAGTGATAACACGCTTAACAAAATGCATTTTTTCGATAATGCTCATAAGAAGTAATTGTTATTTTGCTGCTGCTGTTTCTAAGAAATATGAATGTATGGATGAAATTTTCAAAATATAAAAAGAAAACATTGCTTTCCATTTGGCATTCTTTCTGTTCTTATCGCTCAATTAGTTTTGTTATTTTAATGCAGTACCTAAAAAATCTTTGATATTTACCATTAATTTACTTGTTATAGAAACTTTATAAAACTTTCTATTTGAGTGGGATATAATCTATTTTCAAAGTAGTATCTATGGCATAAATTATGATGTTTTGATTTGTTACAAATTTAAAAACTAATTAGTTTATATCTGCAAATGATTTAGATGGAGATTGAAGTCGTAGACCAATTTTATAGGAGTTTTCATAGAACATGTGTAGAGGGTCTTCCTAAAAGAGTCGGAGGAAGTTTTCTTTGTAGAGTGGAAGGGGACTTTAAAATAGACTATTTATACCCTACATAACTATGTTGTCAGGGTAATATAGCTTTGTGCAGCCCCAAGAGTTTGTAACGCCGCGAAATATTGGTCCTAGACCCACCTTTAAGTATGAATTTTCATATATATTGTGATCAATCACATGTGTGTGATCGTCCGTCTGTCCTTTTTATGCACAGTGGTCAATCTTCACGAAATTTTGAATAATACATTTTCCAAGAAATTTGTTTTTGGTAAAGAGTTGAACGGTATGTACCTATTAATTTTTAGGTTGAACTCTAGATGCCCCAATTATGACCCAAACATCGCGAATTTTTACATAGAGGAGGGGATCGGGCCAAAGATTAAGCATGCCTGTTTTGATAAAGATCGGTCAACATTTAGCGGGTCAAATGGACCCTGACTTTTGTGTGAACAATTACAAAATGTGGATTCTATAACGTATAGATTTACCCCTGAAGGACATAGACCCGAAAAGTTGTTGGTATATCCAAGGGCAGTGGTTTGCCTTTAAATTGATACCAATTATATGGTCGTATGTACTCAGATGTGGGAGTTACACTTAGACATTTACCGGTGCTTATGTATTCAGATATTATTTAGTAACGCTTTACCACACTAGAGGGCGGAAATATAGCGCTGATCGCTTTAAAATGTTCCATGAAGTTCCAGTAATGGTCAAGGATAACGTTTATAATTTTCGGTGAAGATCAGATAATTATATTGTGATGAAGTGACCGAAAACTAAATTTTTTGTGTTTCTTCGAGTCGATCTATAGGCTCCAATGGGAATAAGAAGATCACAACACAAGGGATGGGAATCTGGACAAGTAATTAGAAGGGCTGTACTGAACATTAGTAATAATTGTCGGCCTCTAGTTGGTCCAAATGGTTCAAATATCGCGAAAAATTGCCCAAGCTCAGAATATAAATCCACAGAAAGTTAGTTTTTCGTGGAAGTTGTGTAGGGTATCATATGGTCGGTCCGACGATACTGCTCCGCTCACTGGTTTTAAATTCATTTAAAACAGTATTCGTATAGATCAAGCATTTTGCGAGAAGCTGGTTTTTTAATGAGTAATTAAATAAATCTTTGTATAAGTGCTGGGCCTTTTAGGGCTTTTATATAACCTTCACCACACTGTGGTACAGGGTATTATGTATTTGTGCATATGTTTGTAACAGGCAAAAGGAAACGAGATAGACATATGGTTTCATTTGAGAATATGCATTGAATCACTTTCTATGTCGATTTATCCATGTCCTTCTGTCTGTCCATGTTAAATTGTAAACAAAGTGCAGGTCGCATTTATTATCCGAATTGAATGAAATTTGGTACAGCTCATTTATTTGGCCCAATAACAAACCCTATTGAAATTGCCGAAAATCGGTTCAGATTTACATATAGCTCCCATATATATTTTCGTTCGATTTAAGGTAAATGGTGCACCAATGTCCCTATATATCTTTCGATTTGCACGAATTTTGATATAGTGTACTGAATTAAGTCAAGAAGGATGTGTGCTAAGTTTCTTGAAAATCGGTTCAGATTTAGATATAGCTTCCATATATATTTTCGTCGGTCTTAAGGTAAATGGTGTACTAAAGTCCCTGTATATCTCTCGATTCGGACGAGATTTGGAATAGCGTGCTGAATTAAGACTAGAGTGATGTGCATTAAGTTTCATGAAGATCGGCTCAGATTTACATATAGCTCCCATATATAGTTTTGTCCGATTTTAGGTAAATGGTGCACCAAAGACTAAATGTTAGACCGATTGCCATACAATTTTGCACAGCGTACTGAATTAGGTCCAGATGAAGGTATGCAACGTTTTGTTGAAATCGGACCAGATTTAGATATATCTCCCATATAAAGTTTAGTCCGATTTTAAGGAAATGGTGCAACAAAGACCCAATGTTAAACCGATTCACACAACATTTTGTACAACGTTTGGACTTGGATTCACACAACATCAGCTCATTTATTTGGACCAATAACAAACCCATATATAAATTGGGGAAATTTTGCACAACGTACAAAATTGATATAGCTCCCATATATATTTTATAGAACGATTTAAGGTAAATAGACTTCACATTTTTTTTATTAACCATTGTCCAATTATATATCTTTAAATCGATTTACGTAATTATTTTGATATATCTATCCAAATGAATTAATATATGTGTGGAATGGCATGTTTATGGATTGATGATCTAAGTCGGTGCACATTTAGATATATATGACATATTTTAGTCCATCCAATTTCATGTCAATGGTACTTCGAAAATGCGACGTCTGTTAGAATGCTTCTGTGGAATATACCTGGCCTCTTATTTTTTTAGGAAAATGATACCAAGTCAATTAAAATATGTGATAGGAATATGAAAATATGCTTGCGTAGGAGAACAAGTACCGCTTTGACAGTGGAGATGCGGCTTTCTCTGAATACCCACGTCGATGGGTCCATATATACACCTAAGGTCCCAACTGTGACATTCGATTTTTGACAACCAAAACGACACGCCGTGTGTCGTTTCAAAAAGACGCACTGAAGGCTGCAACACGGTTTTCCTATCAGGGCTCTAATAGACCACATGATGAGGAAAAGAGCTTTCCATGGCTTTAATAAAACACGCATCGACTCCGCCCAGGCTCCTCAAGGAATAGAGAAACGCACATGGAGACAAAAGAAACTCTAGGTGCCTGCCTTTCGATATTTTCATTTCATCGCTTATACGAAGATCTACATCAATTTTTAGCTCAGCTGTTTCAGGCGCATTGCATGGTTGCAATATGTCATTAATGTTAAGTCCTGTCCACTACAGAGGAGAAAATGCATGTCGATTTAGCGGAACATCAGTCACATTGTGTACCTCTCTATATTTGAATGTGACACAACAAATGACCAAATTATATAAATAAACTATTATGGAAAGTAGTAATGTCGGACGGGGCCGACTATATGATACAATTTTCAGCCCCCGTCTCATGACAGACCCTGTTGAACTTTAAATTCTCAGTAGATAACATACCACCTCACAGAAAGGTTAAATATATGTTCCTTGGACCTAGTATATGGAGCTATCACTCATTTTTAAACATAACCGATTTTAAAAGTTTTAAAGGATTTGGTATCTCTTTCCGATCGATGTTCTTAATATATCGCATTTCAGATCCTCAAAAGATAATATATCTCTTTGGAGACAATTTTGACATAGCCTCCCGTTCCATTGTAGGCATTTTGAAGGATCTATAATAATTTTACATTTAAAATTACCATCGTATAAAATACCTCCTCACAGAATTATTTAAAAAGCCTCCTTGCGGAATAAAATATACCCTCTAGGTCATCTTAGAAATATGCCACATTTAAGGGCACATTTAAGGGCATTAATTTTTCAAGATTTTCAATGGGCTGGTAAATCAATACCAATGCTTGGTTTGTAACTTTGCACATATATATTTGAAGATTTAAAAGAGAAGAAAAATAATTTACAAAAAAAATTTGTAATTGTTTTGTTGTTGTTTTTTGTAATTAAAGAGAAGGCCTTATTTTTGATGGCGGGCGTGATAACTACTCACTGGAACATCGGAATCCGAAAATTCCAACGGTGTTAGAAAGAGTACATGTCTGGTTCTCGTATGAACTAGGATTATTGACTTCGCTCTAAAATTAATAAAATGACGGACCTTTGAAAAAAAATATTTTTGGAAAATCGCCGATTTTTGACCAAAAACCAAGTTAAAAAATAAGGAAGATCTTCACCGATTGGCTTTATCCTAGTTCATACGATAGCTATACACTCACAGAGAAACGTGTAAAAATTGGAATCGATGGGTTATCAAAAAATGTTTGATTTTTTGATTTTTTTGGTTCCCACACCTCTTGAAGGACTATTTTTTACGATTCCTTCATTGCCATATGTTTGTATCTATCCTCTTTAATATATATTTTTTAAATTATTTATTTCACTGCTCCGTCATTCTTATTATCTTTTGCTATTATGATTTCATTGTAATTGATTAAATCATTTGTTCAAAATAAATATTATTTATTATTGCTTTTGCAGTAGTATTTTATTTGTATTTCGCTTTTATTTCCGAGATTAAAATACAATTTATTGTGCCCCACTGCTGGCCGATAATATTCAAACCATTTAACAAACAAATCATCAAAATAGTTATTTGTTTATAGTATTTCGATATGTTGTGTTGCTTCTCTCTCTCCCTCTATTTCTTTCTTTTTGGATCTCCAAGCATTATTCTTAAGTTGTTATTACCACTTTT